GTGGAACTATTATCCATGCATTACCAGCTGTTCCCGATTTTGATGTTTCTAACTTGGGACTCATAATAACGTTAGCTGCGCCCCTCACTGCCTCACGTAAGTTCACACTTGACTTCTTTCTTGGTCCAAGTTTCTTTTTATTTATGGCCCTGTTGTAGTTCGTTTCAAAATAGTGAACATTTTAAGCCATCGTAATGGACGAAGCTATGGTAAGTTTTTACGAGTCAATGGAGCAGTCATGGCTTACTCGACGAGATGAGTTACGCAAAGTTGGATTGGTTTCGTATAGTGGCGGTTCGAAGGATTTTCCAAGTGCCCGATCATTTGGCAGCGTTTCCTGGAGTGAGTATTCCGGACACTTTTGTTGTGTTTTTTTTTCTTCATAATCCCTGTTCACCTTTGTGCAATCGACGAAGAGAAAACGAAACTTAGGATGCGTAGTCGGATGCTTCTATTCCAACCAGGTTTTCATGCAAAAATTTCTGTTGTGCCGACGTTTTGACTAATTCATCGTCTTTAAGGGCTGGGAGCATTTTAGTACCAATGCTCAGGTTCTGAGAAAGGGAATTTTCAGAAACTGTGACAGTTTTGCTATATAATTTTGTAAAATTGTGGGGTTGCTAGTTGCTTGTATGTAGCATAACTAAACAGTTTACGTGTCTGCAGTTTAAGTTTTTTCTCACTCACCTACGTACCTAAACCAATTGTTGATTGCGGGTACAACGTGGTTTCTAAGGCATATGCTGGATCCTACTTCCTTGGTACCGTTTTAAACAGTCAACTTTTGTACTCATTTTTTCGGGAGGTTCCGAGAATCGGCGAATCGGTTTCACACGTATCAATCAGTGGAAGGAGAGAAGCCGAGATATAGGGAATCAATGAAAAGTTGGCAACGTCAAAGAATGCCTGATACTCGTTCGTGGTTTCTCTTGCTCTCCCATACTATCAAAGCGAGAGCGTGAACGCTGACTTGTCTGAGCGCTGTAATGGGTTTCACTTCGTTTTTCTTCACATGGTTTTTTATACTTCGAAATACTTCTTGATAACGAAGCAGTTCTTTTGTAGAGATGTGATCTCTCGTGTATTTTAGCGTTCAAGCTCCTGTCCGCTTTATGCGTGCTGGCATGCTTTCCTCTTTCCTTTCGTTTTTATGGACCTTTTTTCAATTCTTTTGAGATGTTTTCTATCTCGCGCAATTTTTTATTCCTTTCTTGACATTACGGTTTCTGCAGGGAAGGATTATAGGTGCATTTGGTTGCTTATTTCTAATTTTGACCGGATTTAAGGTTGTTTTGACCGTCTTTTTTTTACCGACACTGCAATCTTAGATTGAACGCTTGAATCTTCCAGAGCCACGTGATTCATCGCCCTTCATGGTCTATTCGAGGAGTGGACACGGCTGCGGACCACCTATGCATTCTGTGGTGTAATCAGCTAACAAGGTTAGCAGGATCGGACTTATTCCGTTTTGCACCACGTCCACTATTTTTTCAGGCATTCGACGCGAATTCTGTACAGGTATGGATTAGAGGAGATCAAGACTAACCCGCGTTCTGCTCGCACTGTTGTGAAGGAGTTTTTCGATGAAGAACATCGAAAATTCTTGCAAAATTCCACTGAAATTACTTCGGAGTTAGAACGATATGGAGAGGCTGTCATGGGGTCGAGCAGTAGTTTCGTGAAAAGTTGGAGTCTTCGATTACCCATGGGTCTCACGCGTTTATCGAGGTGCTTTAGAGGTGAGATTTTTTAGAACTTCTCTTTACTAAGCCCCCTTTACCTTTCTCCATTTCAGGCTCCCAAGAAAGTTTTCGAATTGCAGTTCCATTCACCATATGCTGTGTTTGACGTGTCTTTGAAATCGAGTTGTGGTCAGTCATTAAGATTAGAATTTCATTACATGCAGTTGCTAAGTTTCTCCTTGTCTCGTCTTCGCGGAGCACTACATCACCGGTGCGAAAACTAGATTTACAGCAGCTACGAATAAAGACACTGTCTAATAAAATATTGGAGTGTGATTGTTTAGTGATAAGGCTGTGATTTCAGATGCATCCTTGTTGTTCATCCATACGAATTCTCTTGCTCGATCTGCCATTTTGAGAGGCGACAGTAAAGTTATGACAATAAATCTACCCTATAATTCCAACTCAAGTGGGTCATCATTTTTTATCATACGTGGCGCATTTAATCTGGATTTAGGGTCTATAAAGAATGAATAGTTACAGCATTATCGGTTGTTTCTTTACGTGGGAGCCACGAGCCACGGACAGTGGCGTATTTCCGTAGGATGCTCTTTTGAAGGGGTAGCTGCGGTAATTGAAACCTGTTGTTTGTACTTCTCCGTTGTAAAATAAATGGCGCGTTAACTTGACGCGTTTGTAGCTATATTTTGCAACTATCAACTCATTTTGCAACAGTTTATGTGTTCGATTACGTATTGGGATTGCAGCTTCCGGTCATATTGTCATGGAAGGAAAGTCCGCATGTGAGTACGACATAACCATTAAACCTAATGTGTTTCATGCTTGGTACCTGGTGAGTAATATGAAATTTTATGCTATGTAAGTCGGAAATATCTTCAGTGTCCCTTACAGTTACTGGTTTCAAATGCTCGACTTCTCATGCACTTCACATTTTCCATCCTTATCGCTCTCGCTGTCATTGAAAAGCTAGCAGGTAACTTCAAACGGTTTTGTTGCTTTCCCTTGGTTTAAAATGAGGAAGTGAACCGCTCATCCGGCATACAGAAAGCTGTTCGTTATGCGTTTTCCTTTTGAAGCTCTCAAAAGCTACAGCATGATTAAAAATTGTGGCGGTAGCAGTCTTACGTGCAGGGCACCATGTATGTAATTTTTCAGTGGATTTCCTGGCTCTGACTTCTAGCGTTTTTTTTTGTTGGTTTGCGCAGCCCTTCTTATATCTCGTAGTTTTGAGTATTTTCCAACAGACTGCTTCTGTATGCAGTTGGCGGTTTGGTTCCATTGTAAGGCGCTAGATTTCGATTATCTTATAGGTAATGGACAAGTTGAACATTGCGGACGAAACGGCTTCTATCTCAACGGGGCTATCTTGATTGCGGTGTTAGTTTTGCTTTCCATATTTACTTCATAATTGCAGCTGACTAACTGATATTGCCTATTACAGCTTTCTATGCTTTACTTATAATAGTTGGTTACTTGAGTCTGTTTTCATCACTTCGATATTCTATGCAATATCGTGCCTCTATTATGTAGCCATAATTGTCAAGGCTCTTAAAGAGCTAGTGTGAGTTGAATAACTGCTTTTCAAGAGAGTATTTGGTTTTCAAATAATTCTTTCTTCAGGTATAGGGCAGGACCAAAATTTGCGCACTTTTTGAGTATGGTTATGAATTTGTTGATGTTATTGTTACTTCCTTTCAACGTATATCTCGCAAATTCGGCCTTAGCACTGTTTATGATTTGGGTGAGTGTTTTCTTATGTTGATAAAATTATTGATTGAGTAATACAGATAAATTTGTTTTGTTATTAGTAATCAGTTGAGCTCTTCCCATGAAGTAGGACGTCAACAATGTGGGTATTAACATTTTCCTGATCCTTACCCGTTCCTTCGGGCAGATCGCAACTTGAAACTCCATATTTGTGAATGCTTTTAATCATCCATATTTGTGTTCTCACATGGCTAGGTCTTCCCTTAATTTTTTTCCTATTTTATTTCAATGGAATCATTTCAATCGGAATAATAGGTCCCATTACACATTTTTATATCCCTTGTTTTTCTTTGCAGAAAAGGTCATCGGGCCCTTTCGCCATCATACTGGGTGTTGCTGCCGGAAGCGTTTCTGCGGCTTTAGGCCTTTCTGGGCCATCGCGTAGTAGAAGTGAGCATCTCGTAGGTCATATTTTAGAAGCCGATCTGTTGAACTTCACTGCGATATTCTACTTTTTATTGAACAGTATTGATTTTTCGAATAGTTT